GAGGGAATTCATGGAGCCATCCAGAGAAGTCGTGGTAGTTTTCCAGCTCAGCTCTCAGAAGAACAGAAGTTAAGTCCACTCTTCACCGTTCACATTCATAGAAAATCAGCTCCTGATCTTGTAGTCCCAGATGCATCCTTCTTTTATTTATTATTTATTTATTTCATTTGTATGCCGCCCCATTGCCCGGGGGATCTCTGGCTGACTCACAAGAAAGAGAAATAACAGCATTACATAACTACAGTTAAATAAAACAATAGCATCTAAAACCACATAAACTGAACCAATGTAAGGTGCGAAGCAGGAGGATAATATAAACAACAATAAAAACAGCACTAAAATCATCAGCAAAAAGCAAATAAAACCATAGTCCTAAAAGCAGGTATGAAATTAAAAAGTATTTACTTGATGATGACAACAGAATAACAAGCGTGCAAGTGGCACCCCTTTAGGAAGAGAGTTCCGAAAATGAGGTGAGATAACAGAAAGACCTTTTTTCTTGCCAATTCCCCCCCCCCACTCCATTTGGGGGGTGTTCATGAAGGGAGGCCTCTGCTGAAGAGCTCAGTGGTCTAGTAGGGATGTATGAAGACAGGTGTTCCTTTAGGATTCATGGTCCCAAGCCATTTAGGGCTTGGTATATAAGCATAAGTGCTTTGAATTGGGCTCAGGGAATAACAAGCATCCAGTGCAGTTTGTGGAGGACCAACTTGATATACTGTCTAGGTCCGGTTCTTGTTAATAGTCATGCTGCTCTTTTAAATGCTTCCAGATTCGTTCCATATTTGCAGCTGAGGATTCCGGGAAAGCTGATCACTGAAGGTACTCATTGGGCTCAACCCTATGAGGCCTTTTGCAGTTATTCTCTTCAGGCAGATTCCATCTCTGAGAGGTATATATGCCCTACACCAATAATTCCAGGCCTTTTGGCTCCATCAGTATGACTGATGGGAAAGCAGACTTAATCTTGCCCATCTGGTCTGAATGAGCCAAGAAACAGTGTCAATGAATGGGTCTGTTGCTCTTCTTGGGTAATCCACTCCCCCCAGGTACAGGAGGGATTCCCAGTGGCTGATCTGCAGCAGAAGAATTGTACTTAAATAAGACACAGGATCTTATATGTACTGAGGAAGCAAAAAGGGATCAGCTTACTGGAAATGGATCTTTATCTTCAGAATGCGATCTTAATTATTTTACCTGCCTCCTCCCCCAAGGCCACTATGAACAGCTGAAGCTTCCTTATACTAAAGCTGACCATTAGCACAAGTACCATGGTAGTGCCAAGCTGAATTGCAGTGGCTTCTGGCCATTTCAAGCAGACTTTTCCCCAGCCCTGCTTAGATCCTTTCAGTTAAAGATGGAAGAAACTGAAGCCAGGAACACGCAATATGCAAAGCATGTCCTCTACCGGTACATGATCACCTCTCTCCAATGACCTTCTGCCACAGGGGCTGAAAACGTTGCCCAGAAGTTATCTATATCACATGCAGAAAATGCGACAGTGTTCTAATCATTTTCTGAATATTTCCTGCATTACATATTTCTTCATGCAATTCTTATATTTGCAGTTCTTATAAAAAAAATTCCTCCAACAATCTTCAGCCAGCATATATTGCACCCAAGAACCGAGGCTATTTGGTGTTCGTAAGAATACTGTTGCACTGACTTGAGCGTTGTTAAAATGGGGATGCAGTTGGATTTGTGCCTTGTGTTGTCTTTGATTTCCAAATTATCTGTATTTAAGAAAATACATAAGAATACGTGTACTCATTTAAAAACATACAAGCAAGCACCAGTTGCTTTTCTCATTTTCAGTTTCTTGAGTGTACTATCACTTTAAATTGAAGTGCTTTGTGCTGCTTTTTCATTTAGGTTTCTGTATACTCATTTTTCTATAAGGGCAAAAGCTGATCCCTCCAAAAAGCTTCATTACTATATGAAAACACAAATGCATGCAACCCTAATACTGATTATATCCAGTAGATGGCAATCTTTACTGTGAACAAACATCTACTTTGGAAAACTGTTCTCCAGTAAAGATTCTAATATATTCAATTTACCAAGGGGTGGGGGGACTCGTCCTGCCAAGCATCTCAGTTACATCAAAAGACCTTAACGACGGAGTAAAATGTTTGGCATTAATTCCTCTAGTAATTAGGTTAATGCCACAATGCCTTTTAAAGAGACTTGGAGAATTACTTCATGTGTCAGTCAGTCGAAATCCAAAGTGATCAGCAATTTAGCTTAATTTTTTTGGATGTTAAATATTAATTTTTTAAGAATCTCTGTCAAAGCAGGTCAGTGCTAAGTGATCTTAACTGATTGAGAATGGAAAAGAACTTGTGTGGTTCTTATTCTGTATTTGAAGCTGCCACATCACTGCAGGTTTCAGCTTCCCCCATTCCGCTCGCACCCTTTCTACTCCCTTCTGACAGTGTTAATTGGGGCAATATTCTTGTTCAAAGAACAGATGTTTGTAGCTAGAGCATGAGGAAGTTCATGTGCCTTTGCCCAGCATGCTCTTACCCCCTAGGATGGTAACTCACACTGCAGGTTCACAGCACACTGGAAAGGCAGTTCCATGGAATCAGAAACTTTGGAATCAGAAACTTGCTTCCTTGAGCAGAAAGGTCAAAAGTCAGGAAGCCAACTTCTCTTCTCTTTCCTGTGCATTTCTTCTCAGAAAGTGGTGTGTACCCCAGAAAGCTGATGTATTTGTTTGTCTATTTTGTTCCAGAAAATTTGTTCTTTAATATAGTTGCATACTTAAGCTGGGTTCACACATGCATGGCTTGATTACTCAGGCTTTCTGTACTCAGCACAGGTTGTGTGTTGTGGTCCCTTACTCATGGAAATTCACAGGTCTTTATGCAATGCCATGACCCTCCCAGGGCCTTTCCCATGTATTCCAACCATTTTCCCAGCTTTTTTTCAGAGAGAAGATAATGCAGTATTTTGCTAGATGCCACCATTATTCACTATGGAAGCTATGTGTGAACTTTAAATCCCACTCTATCATAGCACCTTCTTGTATTGTTTCATGGAAAATATAAGGCCATATAGAAAGAAAGAGGAAACACTTCCCCCTCTTAGGGGAAAAAAAAACATTCTTGTATAAAAGGATGTTCTTTGCCCTGCAAAGAAAATGGAAGTAGTGTTGGAAAAGCATTGAGTTAACTTCCTCAAACCTGGAGAGCTGGGCTAGCTAGAAAGCTGAAAACTGGTTTGTGTGGTCTGATCCCTGAAAACTGTCAGGGTTCAAGTGGAATTGGTGGACATTACAGGGAAACTCTTGCAGGATCATGCCGACCTGCTTTACTTGTTGAGCAGCTTTAGCACATGGGTTTCTGTTTGGATAGGATTTGTAGCCCCATGTTAGGAATGGCTATTGTTTCAAATACTGAAGATGAAACTCAAGTACTTTGGCCACCTAATGAGAAGGAACAACTCACTGGAGAAGACCCTGATGCTGGGAACAGCTGAAGGCAAAAGGAGAAGGGGACGGCAGAGGATGAGGTGGCTGGATGGGGTCACTGGGGCACTGGGTGTGAGCTTGGGTGGGCTCCAAGGGATGGTGGAGGACAGGAGAGCCTGGAGGAATGTTGTCCATGGGGTCGTGATGCGTGGGGCATGACTTTGCGACTAAATAAAAAAAACCAAAAATGTTTCAAAGGCTTGCTATCTTCCTCCAAACTCCCAGGACGGAGTGGGCTGAAGGCAACACAGGCCAAAACTACCCTCCATTGTAGAATGACTGAGCAGCCCTCCCCGTTTGTGCTCTTTTCATCTCAGTATTTATTATGGCTGAAGAAGATGCTGTGCTGTAGGGAAGAGATGACCTTCTCTCTAGGCATTTGATCGGCTTTAGAGCAGAAAATTATCCTTTATTGTCTACCAGTTTTCAGCTTTCTAGCTAGCCTGAAGGATCATAACCATCTTGGAGGACATTTCAAGCCCTTTTGATGGCCAGTAGCAGCTCTAAATCCCTGGCATTTATTATACATACAACACCCTCTGCTAGGTGAGAGTTGAAGGGAATTGCTTTGTAGTTCAAATGAGGCCAAAGAAAGGGAAAGGAGCCTCCGTCTTGCAAAGGGTTGGAAAGCAGCAGCCTGTGAGCTGAAATGGGTACCTTGTTTGCTGTAAGTTTGACTGGACCCATGTTGTTAGTTACTTCTGTGTGGGCGTCTGCCTCCTGTCCTATGCTTAACTTGTGAATCCCTTAACAAACAGATGTTAAAATATTATCTTTGTATCTACCAGTTCTTTATTTCCTTAAAATGAACTAGCTCCATAAAAGCTTTCTTAAAACTCCCTATTGCTCAACACAGCTGAAGGCATTAAAGGTATGATACACATTTAGCCAGAGCCCACACGGTTCTGGATGCTGCACATCTTACAATCTGAAGCCTATGAAAACAAGAGTGCTGCATCACAAGAGGAGGAGGATCTGGGGCATATGAATGAAGATATAGGGTGTGGGATCTCAGTGAATTCTTGTGGCAGCTGCAAACTTTGAGTATTTGTCTCCTGAATTTATTTAGCCAGTTGTAGGTCTCCCAACATCATACATTTAAAAACACTGAGCCCACCCCACCCAACTTAAATCATCTAAATTAAAATTGTGGCTGTAATTAGTTGTATTTATTTAAAGTTTTTGTATGCTGTACCAAAACTAAAAGTCTCTGGATGGCTTACAAAAAGCCACCCTTAATCCAAGGGTCCCTGTGCTTTCATAAAGCCATCTTGCATGCGGGTGTTTCTTGCTCTTCCTGCAAACACCAGACTCAGAGCTTTGAGCACCTGCCTGTTTGGAAGAGCAACGGGGCCACCCAGAAAAATGGTGGCAGTTTAGGTGTGCTCTGAGCATTCCCTAGGTAAGCATATCTGCACTGAATAGAGTAGAGGTGCAGAGTGGAATTTGGTTACGCCTCTTGCCTGTTCTCACCTGTTCTGGATGTTCCAAGAGTTGTCTGTTAATCTGCATCTTTCCTTCTTAGAATCGCTATGTGTGAAAGATGGTCCAGGGTGCCCGTCCAGCTCTTGCCAAAAGGAGTGTGCGGGTGCCGATGCCGCGGGCCATGGTTGCCACTGCCCAGACTTGCCAGGTGAGCCCTTGGCTGATGACTGTGCCACAAAACCGGCTGCCAACCCTTGTGCCTCCAGCCCTTGCCTTCATAATGCCACCTGTTCAAGCACTGAAGGGAACCTCAGCTTTACCTGTGACTGCCCCGTGGGGTACACTGGAACTACCTGTGAAAATGCCACCAGTGGGTGTGACCCACATTTCTGCAGGCATGGGGGCACTTGCCACGAGGGGCCTGCGGGCCTCACCTGCCTCTGCACTGAAGGATACACGGGTGCCCGCTGCGAAACGGACACGGACGAATGCCTTTCCAACCCCTGCCTCAACGGAGCTCTGTGCAGGGACAGGAGCAGTGGCTATTCCTGCTACTGTGTCCCAGGCTACCAAGGGAAGCACTGTGACCTGGAAGTGAATGAATGTGCTTCCGAGCCTTGCCTGAACGGCGCCACATGCCTGGACATGATAGGCAAGTATGACTGCCTTTGCCCTCTTGAGTACACAGGTAAGAGAACACCTCAGAATTCACTCCAGCAGCTTGTATTTGTAAGGACAGGCCAGCAGCGAGTGGCAGAATGAATGCTCTGCACACAGACAGTCCCTGATTCAATGCCCAGCATCGCCAAGTGATTCTGGAAAGATGTATCCAGTGCCACTACTGGTCAGTGCTACTGGTACTGGATCTGATGGGCCCGTGGTCTCACTCAGTTGCAGGTCGCTTCCTATGTTCCTGCTTTGTGAGCATCAAAGCATGTTCCAGGCTGATTCAAGTGTGTGAATAATGGGATTGCCACAGGTCAGCATTCCACCCTATTGTCCCAGTGAATTTTGGAATGAGGAGAGAATGTATTCTGCATGCATTCTCGACGTGCCCTGTTCCAGCACACCTGTGAGTTTTTGGTTGGGCCTGCCCATGCTTTGGGGGACATTGTCTTACACCCCCTGAATAATCGGCCATTGCCACCGCAGTTCAGATCAATGGCTGGGCTGACAGTGCCCAGGGTTCTGCAGGCAGGAAAGTGTCTCTGAACATGTGCCGTTCAGGTTTTGCCAAGGGCTTTGGCGTACCAGAGCATCCTTAAGCTCCACCAGCTGGAATTTGGAAGAAGGACAGTCCAGCCCAGCAATGGGGAAAGCAGACTAAAAGGTTGTTTAATGACATTACTGAAAATGCATTTGTTGTCATAATGAATATAACCCAGCATTAATCCAAAATGTTTATTATTTGTTCATTTCATTTCTCCCCATATGATTTTCCCCTGCTTTCCCATGCTGTCTGGAGGCTGATGAGTGTTGGTGAGAGAGAAACAGGTTGGGAAGGTTGGTCTAGAGATCTGCAGGTAATGACTGGGGATACAATCCAGATGTCAGGAATTTGCATCTGTTTTTCCCAGATGGTCACCCATCTTCTCACATGGGGAAAATACAAAGAGCTCTTAAATGTCCCTCTCTCTCTCTCTCTCTCTCTCTCTCTCTCTCTCTCTCTCTCTCTCTCACGCGCGCACACACACACACACACACACACACACACACACGTGAATCAAATACACCTTTCCCATCTCAAGAGCTTCACCCACTTGTCCCTGGGTGTGAGCCAGACACAAACAAGACTGATCAGCCGAGCTTGCTAAGGGGAAAGCTTTGCCAGTGCCTCTGATGCTTTGCCAGAACTCTTTGCCACTGTCAAAAGTGGACAGCAAACTTGCCAGTGGACAATTATCTTTCCTCCTCACTCTTATCCCTGCGGAAAATCCTGCCTTTGCCAGTCAGTTGACATGTGGCCAGATGGCGCCTCCAAGTGGCCTTGAAACTCTCCATGTGCAGTAGGGCCATTCCAGGGAGTGGCTTCCAGCACTCCCTTTCAGGTTGCCCTTCCATTCATCCCCAATCCACTGCTTTCTTCTCTGTTGAGAGGTTGTTGATCAAGACATGCAGCTTATTAGAATCAATCTCTTCTTGCCTGAATCACCTCTATATCCTCTACAACTGTCTTCTTTAACTGGATCTCCATGTTCACTAAGTTTTTCTATCTTCTGACCCATGGTATGGTATATGACTTTTCTTCTTACATTAGCAACCATCATATTCAGTCTGCTTTTGCTACTTGATGCTGCTGCTGACAGTTTCCACATGATGTTGTCAGTAGTTTCACCTTCCTATAATTTTCCTGAACCACCTGCTGGACACAACCCCTTTCTGTTACTCTGCAAAGTCCTCTGACTGTTTAATCATGAGAACATAAAGGAAGTTGAAAACTTCTAGAAGTATATTTTTAAATGATGCATTAATATTTCAAGGAAGCAAACATTCTGGAAGAGGAACTCCATGCCACCTTAATAATGATGCTTTGTTTAACCAAACACGGGCATGTTGTGGTCAGCCTGGAATGTCCTGGAGTGCTGGATTCAGCCTATCCATACCAATTCTGTCTTACTAAGAGGAAGAAACCTTCATTTAACAATCAATTGCAGCTCCCTGCTAAACACAGAGGAGAGGCTAGTTGCGATATCCAAGGCACTATCACAGGGATCCAAATGCTCTGGCTGAATTCAGTTCAAGGCCATGTGCCTTCACTTCAGCAATCAACCAGGTACCAAACCCAGGTCCTTTGAGAATCCACCTCTAAGTCAAAGGTGAGCAATGCTCAAAGGATCAGCCAGACTAAAACACATGATTATGTATTTTGGGAAATCTCCACCTGGGCATGGTTGAGAACCCAAAGTGATGTACTCCACTGGGAAGGGAGATTTGGAGTCTTTTCCCTGGTCTTTCCTTCAGTACAAGTGGTAGAGTATACATTTCCCAAAAAGAGAGGAAGAGCCTGATGCAGATACAAGAGGAATTACACCATGCATGTCAGGTTTCTAATGAAGCGAGCAAGCAGGTTAACACAGGGCTGTGAATAGCCAGACTCCTTTTCCCCCTGTTTTTGCCACTTAATTGCCACTTTAAACTGTTTATTGCTTTCTGCTTCAAAACCGACAAATCCTTTATCTTCTCTGCACCTTTTTGCCTCAATCCTTAATAAATCTTTTATTCAGTTTTTACCAAAACTCAAATTGTCTGTTTTGTGGGCTCACAAAGGGAGTGTCACATTATTGGCCACATTAACACTGATTTAAAGACCAGGTTGCACACAACACTCTGAGCAAAGCCTGTAACCTAAGCTATGCTCCCCTAAGGACACAAGAAGGATGAAAAGAACCCCAACGCAAGAGTGAACAAGAGCGCTGGCCGGCTGAACTGACTGGGTCTGTCTTATTCTCATGGGTGGCAGCCAGTGCTACTTGTCAGCATTGCTGCTGATCTGCAGTTGTAGATGTCCAGGATCCCACGCAGGCTTCGACATGCACGCACACACGCACACGCACGTGAGTGTGCACGCATGCACGCAAGCACACACACCGCCGGCTGTATTGCCTTGGAAAATCTATGTACATTTTCAAAACACAATAGATACTTACCGCGCATTTCAAAATCACCCTTGGCTTTTTTCTTTCCTGTCATAGAAGGAATAAAGGGCACTAATCGTTATGCAATACCCTTGGCATTTGAATTGCACATGGAGCATGATAGCAAAATCCAAAGGAAAAAAGCACAGCTGGAAGTCGGCAGGATATGTTCTTCATAATCCCATTTCACACTGCGGTTTTCTCAGGCATGTGAAATCCCCCCATGAAATTTCCCATAATACCCTTTAATACTGGACATTAATAGTCTGCTCCTGAATTCTAACCACATTTACTTGGGGGGTGGGGGGAGAGCGAGCGAGCAAGCGTGGGGAGAGGATGCATTTTCTTTCCTGTTGCAAGTAGATTCAGTCAAAATCGATGGGACTGACTTCTAAGAAAAATGACCACTATCTAGAAAAGGGTTGGGGAGACTTAAAGCCTTTGAAGTCAATTGACCTAAATGATATGTTTTGATGCTGGCTTCTGGCCATAGAGCAGTGCTAGGATATTTTCTTGAACGGTCTGGTTTTGTGAGTTAATGTGACGAAAACTACTCAGTTCTCTTTGGGGTTAGAAAAGCTTAAAATGGTATTATAAAGGTTAAATTTACAGCTTTTCATCATGTACAGGCTATGTGCTTCTTTTTATTTGGTAAGTTTTCTGTGCTTTTGTGAAAATATACCAGCATCGGTATCATCGGCTCTTACTTGTCCTCACACAGCCTCACGGGCATTGCCAAAATCTGACAGCCGTGTGGCATTGTGATGTCATCCCTAGCTGGACAAGATATCCACATCATTAACCTGGGAAGGAAGGGTCAGCAACCACCACCAAGGCCAAACAGTTACAAAAATCACCAGCTAAGCGTTTCTATGAAGAAATATCCATTGCACAAGATTTCTAGTTTCAACCAGTTATAGGATGAGAAGAATATTTGGTGAGGAACTGTTTAACTATACTGCTGCTTCACCCACCTTAAGCAGCCTAGACTTACTGGGTGACTCTGAGTGAGGCAAGGAGACAAACAGCAAATGCAGTACAGTATTAGGAAGTGATTATGGTGACTGTAAGTATTTTCAGAGATGGAGAATTTTGAGAGAGAAAGAGAGAGAGAGAGAGAGAGAGAGCTTGGGCCACCTTCCTCCCCTTCTTGGGGGAAAAAATCTCATGGAGTGCAGGGTTTCATCAAAAGGCAAAAGCAGCTCTTTGCTGTTGACTGACATAAGCTTCATTTGGACGCCTGCCTCAGTTCAGAACCATCAGGCATGCACCAAATGTTATTTCAAGCAAGAAGCGTCTTGCCTTCCTGCCACCCTGCTGCTACCAGTAGGTGTCTCGGGCCAGGCTAAGTGATGAGAGAAACTGTGGAACAACAGGGAAGGCACAGAGGAGAAAGAAGGAGAAGCCTATTAACAGCCAGCATGGCTGCTCTGAAATGATCACACTCAACCCAGACCTCCTGTTGTACACAGAAAGCTGTGTTTGTAACATTTGTTAGCCAAGCCAAAGGCTGTAGAAGTGGCACAGGAAGAGACTCCTTGATGGGCAAGACGCTCCTGCTTCAACAGGGAGCGAGGGAAGAAATGATGCCTTTAGGCAGGCCTGGAGTTGCCCCACAAAGTTGGTGACCTCACCATGAGAGAAAACTAGGTACCATTTCCCTGCCGGCCAACATCCTCCTCTCTTTGTTATTTGTGCTTCTTGCTCCGTTTTCACTGATCGCTTGGCTTTGGCAAAGTGGTTTTGATGATCGCTTCTCATTGGACCTACACAGATGAAAGCAGAGGCACCCATGTGTGCTGGTAAGCCCCGTTCTCCCACGGAGGAGAGATGCTGGAACGCCTCACTTCGAGGACAAAGAGCCGTAGGTCTTCACCTTCTGCCTTTATTTGACTCTGCAGGCAGATACCCCGCACTGGCATGCATGCATTCCTAGCATGTTTCTTCGTAATGCCTTAAGACATTTTTAGCAGAATATGTCCCCTTTCACCTATCTGGTGCCTTCCAGATGTGTCGGACTGTAACTTCCATGATTCCCAGCCAGCAGGGCAGG